GGGGTGGGGGTCGGGACCCTTTAAGCACAGCCCTCGGCTAGCCTGAGACAGCATCTCCACGCTCTAAGTCCTCCTCTGATGCCCTGCCGGCACTGCTTCCGGCCATCCTTAAGCCTGGTTCAGGGTCCACTTAATCTGGACACGCTAGTTCGAATTAGCAAAACGCTAATTCGAACTAGTTTTTAGTTCTAGATGCGTTAGTTCGAATTAGCTTAGTTCGAATTAACAAATTCGAACTAAGTTAGTTCGAATTAGTGCTGTAGTGTAGACATACCCTACCTCTCCCATGGGATACAAAAGAAGTGGTACCAAGACCCTCCAAAATGGAACATGGCCATAAATTCTAAGGAGTGGATCGGGGTGTACACTACAGGTATAATTAAACCTACTAACCAGGAAGAGGAAGGAAGGAAAAAGCTCTCCTGGCATATAGGGCTGTGGATATGCTTGCTTGTTAACCCCAATGGACGTGCATTACCTGAACTTTGGCCTTCTGCTTTCTGTTTGTGGTGCAAGAACTCAGAGCAGGTGGGGCAGCCCTCCCTCAATGTCTAATCCACCCATCATTTTGCACAATTGTGAAAATTTAAACAGGCAACATTTTTTTTAAAGTTCTTAAAACCTCAATATTGGACGAAATTATAAAAAATAAAGCTTGCATTCTGCCAAACCTACGGATAAGTAATTTAATGGAACTTGCAGAGGCCTGTGTAGTCTGGGACAGGTGATACTGAAATATATTTCTGCTGATGGCTAGAGATGTCTATGTGGCTTCCTTGTGCAGTATTGCTGATGACTGTGATGTCACTACTACCAAGGAACTGTTGCAGTTGGCATTTCGATTTCCTCGACGTATTATGCTGACTAGTCCGAATGTGCATTACTGCTCTACACAGGATAGACGCTAGACTTGCTGCAGCGTGTAAGAGCTTGCTCTCCCAGGTATTGGGAGGCAGCTTGATAACCCCTAATCTTACTGGACCTAATGGATATTTCAGCTTCAATTCCAGTGGTAGAGGCCTGTGTGTAGGGGGCAGAATATCCCGAATTACAGGTTGGTGTCTGTGCAGCTAAAGCATGTAGAACAGCTGATGTCTATGAAGACTTGTGTATAATTTTCTGGCCTTCCAAACCTTCTCTCAACTTCCTGGAGGAGGAGGAAGGTTAATAACCTTGTCCCATATACTTCATTGAGTGTTTAGCTTGCCTGTTCTTAACAGCTTGAAAGCTAGCCTGTCTCACCAACACAGGTTGGTCCAAAAAAAGATATTACCTCGCCCACCTTGTCTCTAAGCAAAGCACAAGGTAAGTGCTAAATGTGCGGGACTGGGAGATGGGTTGGAAATGGGGGGGACTACGGCCTATAATGGCAAGGAGAAAGGAGGCTCAGGGCACAACAGGGAGGCAAGATCAAATCAGTATCTTAGATGCCTATATACAAATGCGAGAAGTATGGGTAATAACTGGAATTGCTAACAAATAAATACAACTATGATATCATTGGTATTACAGAAACCTGGTGGGATGGGACGCATGATTGGAATGTTGGTACGGAAGGGTACGGCTTGCTCAGGAAGGACAGACAGGGAAAAAAGGGAGGAGGGGTTGCCTTGTATATTAAAAATGTACACACTTGGACTGAAGTGGAGATGAACGTAGGAGATAGCTGTGTAGAGAGTCTCTGGGTTAAGCTAAAAGGGGTAAAAAATGAGGGTGATGTCATGCTAGGAGTCTACTACAGGCCACCTAGCCAGGTGGAAGAGGTGGATGAGGCCTTTTTTAAACAATTAACAAAACTATCCAAAGCCCAAGATTTGGTGGTGATGGGGGACTTCAACTATCCAGACATATGTTGGGAAACTAACACAGCGGGGCACAGACTATCCAATAAGTTTCTGGACTGCATTGGAGACAACTTTCTGTTTCAGAAGGTTGAAAAAGCTACCAGAGGAGAAGCTGTTCTGGATTTGGTTTTAACAAATAGGGAGGAACTAGTTGAGAACTTGAAAGTGGAAGACAGTATAGGGGACAGTGATCACGAAATAATAGAGTTCATGATCTTAAGGAAAGGTAGAAGGGAGACCAGCACAATTGAGGTAATGGATTTCAGGAAGGCAGATTTTGATAAGCTCAGAGAACTTGTAGGTAAGGTCCCATGGGAAGCAAGACTGAAGGGAAAAACAACTGAGGAGAGTTGGAAGTATTTCAAAGGGACGTTGTTAAGGGCCCAAAAGCAAACAATTCCGCTGTGTAGGAAAGATAGAAAATATGGCAAAAGACCAGCTTGGCTTAACAAGGAGATCTTGCACGATCTCAAAATAAAAAAGGAGTCATATAAAAAATGGAAACTAGGACAACTAACAAAGGATGAATATAGGCAAGCAACACGGGAATGCAGGGGCAAGATTAGAAAGGCAAAGGCACAAAATGAGATCAAACTAGCTACAGGCATAAAGGGAAACAAGAAGACCTTTTATAAATACATTAAAAGCAAGAGGAAGACCAAGGACAGGGTAGGCCCACTGCTTAGCGAGGAGGGAGAAGCAGTAACAGGGAACTTGGAAATGGCGGAGATGCTCAATGACTTCTTTGTTTCGGTCTTCACCGAGAAGTCTGGAGGTGTGCCTAACGTAGTGAATACAAGCAGAGAGAGGGTAAGTTTAGAAGATAGGATACACAAAGAACAAGTTAAAAATCACTTAGGAAAGTTAGATGTCAGCAAGTCACCAGGTCCTGATGAAATGCATCCCAGGATACTCAAGGAGCTGATAGAGGAGGTATCTGAGCCTTTAGCTATGATCTTTGAAAAATCATGGCAGACAGGGGAGATTCCAGAAGACTGGAAAAGGGCAAATATTGTGCCCATCTATAAAAAGGGGAATAAGAACAACCCAGGAAACTACAGACCGGTCAGTTTAACGTCTGTCCCAGGGAAGATAATGGAGCAGGTAATTAAGGAAATCATATGCAAACACTTGGAAGGTAATAAAGTGATAGGGAATAGCCAGCATGGGTTTGTGAAGAACAAGTCATGCCAAACTAATCTGATAGCTTTCTTTGATAAGATAACGAGCCTTGTGGATAAGGGAGAAGCGGTGGATGTCATATACCTAGACTTTAGTAAGGCATTTGATACGGTCTCGCATGATATTCTTATTGATAAACTAGGCAAATATAACTTAGATAGGGCCACGATAAGGTGGGTGCATAATTGGCTGGATAACCGTAGTCAGAGAGTTGTTGTTAACGGTTCTAAATCCTGCTGGAAAGGGATAACAAGTGGAGTTCCGCAAGGGTCTGTTTTGGGACCCGTACTGTTCAATATCTTCATCAATGATGTAGATATTGGGATAGAGAGTACGCTTATTAAGTTTGCAGATGATACCAAACTGGGTGGGGTTGCAACTTCTTTGGAGGATAGGGACATAATTCAGAATGACCTTAGCAAGTTAGAGAAATGGTCGGAGGTAAACAGGATGAGGTTTAATAGAGAGAAATGCAAAGTGCTCCACTTAGGAAGGAACAATCAGTTCCATACATACAAGATGGGAAGCGACTGTCTAGGAAGGAGCATGGCGGAAAGGGATCTAGGGGTCATAGTGGACCACAAGTTGAATATGAGTCAACAGTGTGATGCTGTTGCAAAAAAAGCAAATATGATTCTAGGTTGTATCAACAGGTGTGTTGTAAGCAAAACACTCGAAGTCATTCTGCCACTCTACTCTGCACTAGTTAGGCCTCAGCTGGAAGACTGTGTCCAGTTCTGGGCGCCACATTTCAAGAAAGATGTGGAGAAATTGGAAAGGGTACAGAGAAGAGCGACAAGAATGATTAAAGGTCTAGAGAACATGACCTATGAAGCCAGGCTTCATGAACTGGGCTTGTTTAGTTTGGAAAAAAGAAGATTAAGGGGGGACATGATAGCGGTTTTCAAATATCTAAAAGGGTGTCACAAGGAGGAAGGAGAAAATTTGTTCCTCTTGGTTTCTGAGGACAGGACAAGGAGTAATGGGCTTAAAGTGCAGCAAGGGAGATTTAGATTGGACATTAGGAAAAAATTCCTAACTGTCAGGGTGGTCAAATATTGGAATAAATTGCCAAGGGTGGTGGTGGAATCTCCCTCTCTGGAGATATTTAAGAACAGGTTAGATAGACATCTGTCAGGGATGGTGTAGACGGAGCTTAGTCCTGCCTTGAGGGTGGGGGGCTGGACTCGAACTCTCGAGGTCCCTTCCAGTCCTATAATTCTATGACAAGCAGGACTGTTCTGCTTTTGTAGGAAATGTAGTTAGACAGGCCTCCCTGATGATCTCCCATGGGATGTTCTGCCTCAAGTTTGCTGATGTCATCACAGATGACAGGTTATAGGAGTAGGCAATACAAAACATGGGTCTCTTCTATGTACCCACTTTGTCCTTGAGCAGAGTTCATCCTAATTCTTTTGAGGATGATGGCAAATGAAGGTCAGGGAAGCCTGAAGGTGAGGGCCAGATGTGGACTAGGTGTATTCTAATATCCCAACGGTCTGCATGTATTCAGAACGCCATCTTACCTGATCCTAGTAAGGAAGTCCACGTATGGAGATTATTTAAATACATAATAAAAGAAAGGGGTACATGGGGAGACGTGGGAGCAATAGGTCTCACTAATTATGCCTTTTTTATACCTACATAGATCTATTATGCCTATATAGATAAAAAATTAAGTAGCAATTTTGGCAGGCGTCCTTCATGTTGACCTATCAACCACAATGATCAAAGGGGGATAACGGAGTTCTTTGTGGGCCTCTTGCATACATGTGTTTGAACTTACTCTAGCTTTTGCACAGTGTTTCCACATAATTTTCTGCATTGGGTCAAGTTTGGCAAGGCAGATTCAATAAACCCTGCTCTTGGTTGAAGCTGAGGACAGAATAACTTCCCAAAAGTCAGACAAAAGCCTCTCTTTCAGGAAAGCTACCTAAACTGCAATAACATGCCATTTCTCCTTTGCTTTTGCAGCACAATAGTTCCATTGTTCAGTCAAATTCATATCCACACATCACTTTAGGGGGCTTGCAGCCGTACACCAGTTACGCTTTTAGAATGCGCTGCGGTGCAACCCACCACTTCTGGAAATGGAGTAAATGGAGCAAAACCCTACAATTCAGAACAAATGAAGCAGGTGAGTTCCTACCATTGGGACTGGGGAATAAGGAGATGAGGCTGAAACTTGTTCTTTTAAGTTGCTGTTTGCCATCTGCCAGACTGATGTCTAGAGATCCCTGCAAGTTCTTTGTCATTGGGGTCTGGTGCTGGAGAGGAAAAGCAAGCCTAAGAGCTGCAGGTAGTGGGCCAATACCACTATAAAATATGCATGCACCTGTGCACAGAACAGACTGGTGAGTGAAACTCAAGCTGTGGGTGTATGTTTCAGATAAAGCTTCCGAACTCCAGGTGTTTTATCTGCAGCATGCTTATGTTAGTCTCATCACCTTTTTCCCTGACCAGTGATGTGTGCTGGCTGACTCTTCCTCTTCCAGCATAGGTTCAGCTATCTTCTGTGGTATCTCTGTCTTGAATTATACCATTGGCTCCCTCTTCCCTGTAACCTCCTCTTCTTGTGCCCCATCCTCCCCAAATTGTTGGCATACCATATCTTTAAAAATTTTGCCAGGTTTACCACCCTGCTAAGTCTCTACCACTTTAAATCTGAAGCTCTGATGCTTGAAAGAGCCCAGAGTGCATCAAATGAATCAGAACTAAGGAAGTTAAAATGCAGGTAACTGGGTAACTTTTCAGCAGTTACACACATATGTGGCGCAGGCTGGCAGCTGGTTCCCCAGGAGCAGGGCAAGAGCCTGTGTGTAACGATTCACGGTAATCGATAAGCCCAAGCTTATCAATTAACAGTGTAAATGGTTATCCTGTTACATCCCTAATCAGAACATGTGAGATAGGAAGTGGGAGCAGCTGGACCACTGATCAGATTAACATGCATTTTTGGCATGGAGGGAATCATTCAGGGAGAGGTAGGTATGGAATGGGAATGAGCCAAGAGTCATTTTGATAGATTCGAAGGAGCTTCAGTTTTTGGTGCAGAGGCATGAGACTGGTGAAGTTGGGGTGTAGCTGAGTTGCAGGTGGGGTGGTCGTCTTACTCAGATATTAGGAAAGATTTGGACAGTTCACCCTTCCTGATATACAACAGCTTTGTTTTATGTGATTGATCATAGCTCCCTCAGGGAAACTTGATTTCTGGAGAGACGTTACCCCAGTTTTGGGAGGACGGAATGTGACCTTATTCTGGAAGGTGAGTCTGGGCACAAAAACAGTTAAGGATGTTTATAGAAATGACCGGCACTATAGCTGAGGCATTTTTCCTCACAGGGTGCAAGATTTCTTCCTTATTTTAGTTTTCCATTATGATGTGCTGCTCTTGTGACAATGGACTCTATAATACTGCAAAGAGAGTCTGGATCTGTTTGTGAATTTTTGTTCTAGCTATGGATTTAGACCATATGTTGCTTTTTTCCCCAATGGGAACTTCCTCCCTCCCCAAAAAAATTAGTTATGTTGTGTTTGGGAAAAGCTTACTTTTTTAAATTGCCCATTCAATACACACAAAAAGGAAATAATAAACATTTTTCAGGTTGGCCTATTTCAAAATTCCCAGAAATTAAAAAAAAAAATCTATATGCGTATGTAAAATATAGAGTAAGTAGAAATAATTCTGTGTAAATGTCATCCTTGAAATAAGAACCAATTCTCTGCTTTTTCTGTAAAACATATTATCACGAGACAGTATCTTTCTTTTCTTATAAGCTTCTACCATAAGAATCATGCCCAGTGCAATTTGTAGTATTGTAAATGTAACTGCAGATTAAATAGATCTTGAAATATTTTCCATCTTTTCCCCAGCCATCACCAGATTTTAGAGCTAATGGTGGAGGTATTTCATTTGAGATAACCTGGGAAAACTTAGAGAAAGCTTCTGAGCCGGAACACAGCTCCATTTCTGCATTACACAACAGCACAACAATTTCTATCGATAACCATTCCTACAAAATCAGCATTGCAACAAAGAACAATATTAATTCTTCACTCCCTTCAGTGATTATAATCTCCAGTGCAACAGATAATGGTTTGTGTGTCTTCAATCCAGTTAAAATAATTTTTGTGGATGCTTATCTTGTGCAGTTATTTTACAGTCAGTAATATTTTATCCTAATGGAATAATAAATTAATCTAGCCATGACATTTAAAATTACTGTTTTGCCATTGATATAGTTGAAAATTACTACCTTCTATCAATGGAGATCGCTTGCCTGTAAGATAAGTAGCAGTATATGTATCTTTAGTTATTTTCCAAAGCCCAACCCAGCTGGCACTCTCTCAAATATAAACTGCTACTTCATGGGGTTGTCCTTGTCACGTTTAACCAAGGCCTTGAAAACTGCATCCGCACACGGATGCACAGGTCTCAATCTCAGGACCCATTGCAGGATCAGAATATACAATTCTGGGCTCCAGTTATGTGAGTCTGCAGTTAAGTTCCTGATGTGACAAATTGTATTGCAGTCAGCCAACTAGAAGGTATTTGAGTGATTAACCTCTTAGTGGGTGGGCACTCTTTGGAGGAGGGGATTGTTGAGTATTTCAAAATGATTAAGCATTCCTGAAAAGACAAAATCTGCAATTTTAGTGGTGTCCTATCATCAGATACAATAATATCAATAATAGCATAGTAATTCTACCTATCTTAATTAGACTTAAAGTATATGAATTTGTATATATTTCAAGTGCTTTCATCCATTCTTTCCTAGGTACTGAAGAAAACATTGATCACACTGATCTTGAAGAGGAAAGAGTTAATGGCACAGTTAATGGCATTTATATTTCTTGGAACGCCACCAATGCATTTGATGGCTACATTGTTGATTGGTGCAACTTTCCAAGGTCCCAGCATTGTGACTTTCAGTGGAAGAGATTTGGTTTCAATACCTCTAGTTGTCTCATCAATTCAGGTGAAAGCAGAAGCAATTCTTCATTATGATGTTTATGGTGCAATTCTTTGTTAGGGCACTGGGTGGCATGCACCTGAATTTTAGGAAACGTATCCTGGGAAAGCAATGATTGAAGTCTAACAGCTGCCCAGTGTGCTAGTTTTCTTTCACAGACTCAGAGGCATATAGAGCTGGAAAGGACCTTGAGAGGTCATAAAGTCCAGCCCCATACCCAGAGACAGAGCCCAGTAAAGACCATCACAGATAAGTGTTTGTCAATCAGGACATCTGTGGTATTTTTCTGTTTACTAAATTGATTCAACATAACAAACAAGTGGTCGGCATTACTAAGGTTAGTTGGGATTCACTTTCAACACCTCTAGTTGTCTCATCAACTCAGACCAACACTGATTAAGAGCTGGTTTGTGAGTGTTTTCTGGGCCTCTATTTAGTAACTTCAGTTGTTCATGATTGGAATTTTTACCTAAAACTACCAAGACTTAATTTAAAAAATTATTATTTTCCAGCTGCTTTCAAGCCAGGTGTGAGATACAGCTTCAGGGTTTATGGCTCTCTAGCTAATGAAGCTTTTTTACTGGAGAAGAAGGTTGGATATGCTGATGAACTGGGTAAGCAGAAGACGTTTTACATGTGTACTTATCTGCTAAATGGGGCTCATGAACAGAAGGGAGTTCTGTAGCTGTTGTGTCTTCTCTGCCTCCTTCACTGAGTGCAAGCAATAATGTTGCTTCCCCCATTCCCATTGCCTACATGCAATAAAACACCACAAAATTGCCTCTGGTAACCACTGTTTGGTTAGAACAAATCTCAGAAAAACAAGAACCACAAGAGTCAGGGAAACAGCTTATGTTCAGTTGATAAAGCAAATTTAACAAGCGAAAGCATATAGTAATGCAGGAGCAATGCCAAATGAGGAGATACACATTCTAGAAATTCAACACATTTGTCAATTTCCATCTTTTCAGCTCCTAGTCGCAACCCTCAAGTGGAAATAACTGAGCTGACTTCCTATACTGTGACCTTAACTTGGCACTCTTATCCCATAAATGAATCACAGCCTGGATTCATAAGAGGTTACCATGTTTATGTGAAAACTATGGAAGAAGAGTGCAGTTTGGAGGGATCCACAAAACATGCTCTTTCAGGTAATTGAGTCTTTGAATCCAGACACCTGTACATTCATCAGTACAATACAGCACCTGCTGAAATGTGTGAAAGGCTGCACATTTTTTGCTTAGGAGATCACTATACTGGAGACTATGAAAGATCTTCACACTTACATGTTGGGCAGATAAATCAACACGATGGATTTCAGTGCATCAGAATTCTCAGACCCTCCCACTGAATGCAAAAATATTGTTTATTCTCACCTGTTGATTTCTCCAACATGAGCTGGGTCCTGATTCACTGCTTCTTGGTCCAGTCCCCTCCTCCAATTGGGCAGATGTCAGATAAAGCTTTATGTCTGCCTGAACTTGGATGGTCAGGGACCTACTCACCAATATCCTGTCAGAACAAGCTTACTTGTGGAACAGTTGGCACACCTGTAACTGTACACAACTGCTAATATTCTCACACGGGAAGGGTGGAAAAGCAAAGCCCAACCACTTCCCCATCTGAGGCAGAGATCTCAGGTTGTCATCTCAGGCGGGACCAGCACAGAGGCTGGGAAGGATGAGGGATGTGGCTGAGAAACACTCTAGTTTCTGTGTCCCTTGTACTGAAGACATTTCTGCCTCATCTATGAGTTGTGGAGTGGGTGCAGAGAGAAGAAAGGGACAGAGGCAGAACAAAAAACCAAACTTGCTAAAATGCGACCAGCAAAGGTAACTGAATTGTGAAAGTGGAAACCGAGCTTGTAGCTTGGCAGAAGCAGACTTCTGACAAGACATTGGTAGGTGTTCCCCTACTGACTTGGCTCTCTCAAACATGCTGCTGCTGCTATCTCCGGTCCAGTCAGAAGAGGTGCCACCCAACCCAGCAAAGATTCTTACACTGTGGGATGCACTTTGGCTTGGAAGGGCAAGGAATGTATTCTGTGGGGATATGAAAAGCTGCTCTGCCTTCAGAGCTGGGATGCCAGAAAGTGGCAACTGCTGCCAGTTGTGTAACTTTGAAGGCGACGTACTGCTCTTGTTTCTCCATTGTTGCTGGCAGAACGTTGCCTTTAGAACTGGACCAACAGCCGTCCCTTTCTGCTTTGTCTTCAGAGCTTGGCAGCAATAATACATACTTGTGTGGCAGGAGCTGGAGGGTGTAAAGGACTAAGAACTAGGGATGTCAACGGGTAGTCGACTACACATTAGCCAAGAAGCCTGGGCTTGTCAATTAATCCTATCTACTATACACATTCCATCCTCCCTCCCCTTGGTGGGGATACATCAAGGGAGAGGGAGGCAGGAGCTAGTACTTGTGGGAAGTCAGCTTAAAAGCTGGCTCCCCACAATCACCAGATCCCATAGAGCCACCTGTCTTCCCCTTCCCCCGCACTACTGCCTGATAGAGATGCCGAAGCACAGAGGGTGAGGGGTGCAGACTGGAGTTGGCACATGCGGGAAACTGGCTTTCAAGCTGGCTCTCCCTACATGTTGGCTCTGCATCTGCCCACCCCCACTTTGCTGTCTCCCACAGAGGTGGGAGGAGAGTTGCAGGCAGGAGCTGGTGCTCGGAGGGGACACAAAGAAGAGGAAGTGTCTAATTAGTTTGAGACATTTAGGAAGGGGATGTGTTCTAATTCAAAGAAAACCCACAATAAGAAACAACAGAGTAATGGTTGGTAACATCTCCTTTGATTGTAGATGGCTCAGTTCTATGTAAATACACTCTGGAAAGCCCTGAAGAAAAAAGATACACGGTGAAACACCTGGTGCCAAAAACAACGTATGCACTGGCAGTTACAGCTTACAGTGGCGGCGGAGAAACCCCAATCGATACTTACATAACCGTAGATACGCTACAGGACTGTGAGTTTAGAAAATGAAAGTATAAATTGTAGGGGCCAGGTTGGGGATGGAGGGAAGAGAAGGGAAAATAGCGTCAGTCACTGTTGGCTTCTTTCCTAAAAAGGAAATGAAAAGTTTATTAGATTAGGTAGACATGAATGGATTTGAGAAAGAGCCCAGTTGGAAGGTCGTATTATTTGAATGCATGCATTCATAAATACAATTGCCAAATTAAATGTTTTAGTACTTGCAGAGCTCCTTTCACCCTAGAAACATTACAACATATTTAATGCATTTTATCATGTTATGTAAGCCTCAATCTCCATGGCAAGGTAAGAAGGCAAATTTAGACCTACTTTGCAGATAGCAACACTAAGGTTCATTTTACAGTGACAGAGTTGAAAGCAGGCTCTCTCTTCCAAATACCAGAACATACTAGAAATGAATTTTATTTCATTCCAGTTTGTTTTATAGCCTATAGAAGATAATAAATCTTTTCATATACTGGCTGTTGCTTTCACGACCAAGTGGCTAATTTATGTGTGGATAAGAGCTCTGGACTTCCTAATACTGCTTTATATGAAAAACTGGTTTACAAATCCACCAACTCTTCCATTCCACGCTAGCCATGACCAAAGAAGGGCTGTTGCAGGAGAATCATTCTCACTAAATGTGGTCATATTAGACATCCAGAAAGAAAGGGTAATTACTTGCCTGTATTTCTTATCATGACAGACTTTAAGAACTTGTGCTTCCAAGCTGTAACTCCACAACTTTGCTCTTACAAGGAGTGGAAGTGTTGATTAGTGCACAAAAGCCGTACATTTTACACTGAGCAGCATGCTCTACCACTACATGCCAGGCCCTCCCAGACAGAATTTCTGTTTGTTAGAGCACTGCATGATTCCATGGGTAACTGTTATGGAAACAGGAGCTTTCTTTTTGGAGGGGTGGGGGGGACACAACCAATTCTGTTTGGCATTTGGAATACTAGTACTGGGGCCTTTTGTCCTCATTAAGCAAAGCATTTAAGTATGTCTGTGTCTGTTCTTTCCTGGACAGGGATAGATGGACTAGGAATGTTTAAGTGCTTTGCAAAGTGTCTTCACTGAAAAGATAAGTGTACATTGATGTAACCATGTCAGTGTAACACCGTAATGGAGACAAGACACAGGCAGGTTTTACTTCAGGGTATTTTCCTATCGAGTTATACTGCTTGAGGTAAATCCCAGTGAGGTGGAATCGGCCTCATGTAGTTATGCTGAGGTCTGAACCACCCATGCCTTGTCTCCAGTGGGATTTTATTTCATCAACACCAATGACTGCTAGTTGAGTTAGAGCAGATCTTTCAGAAAAACATCCATGTTTGATTTAAAGATGACCTTCTATCCTAAAAGCTCTAATTACATTGTTCCAATCAAAGGAAATTAGAAAACTGGTTTTTAAAATATTGTTTTTCTTTCACAGACAATACTTATCTTGCAGTTCTGTTAGCAACTATTCCTTTGGTACTAATCACTGCTCTGTGCTTCTGGAAAAACAAGTGGTAAGTTCACTGCAATTCATTTTTCTTCTGATTGTAGTTTGTCCATTTATACCCCCTTACATAATACTGCCTTTATTTCTCTTTGAGTGTCTTAGTAAGTGGATGCCCTGAATATGTGGCTTATTGCAGTATACAGTAAATAGCATCTCTGCATATTTCTGTAAGAATCTTAGCCCTGCCATCCAGATGAAGGCAGAATGAATGTTGCCAATTGAACAAAACAAAGTTTCTTACTTGTTTGGCTGTATTTTTCTAGGGTGAAGAGTTGCTGTTGTGCTGAAATTCCCAATCCTAACAAGAGCAAAGTCCTCTCATTTAATGGATTAAAGGTGAAGCCATTAGATAAACACAATTACTTAAATTTTTCCACTCTCAAACCAAGATCCAGCAAAAAGCATTAGAAAAATTTTCTTTCTGCGTACAGAATTACTTTAATGATGATGTTCATTTTACAAATGGCTTGTCTGATTTATTTTACTTTTGGTTGAAAAAAATCTCCATGAGAGTGATTAGTTTACACTTTGAAGTTGGTCTTCACAAGAATAGGATCTAAATAGTGACTTTACAGTTATAAAAGCTCTTTCCACACACTCGTACCTGTCAGAGCAGACAAAGTCCTTCTGATGCCATTAGCTTTCAATGTTAGAACATCATTGACTATTCCTCTTTGAGACATGCACTAGATGATTAGGTGAGTCCTGTAAACTATGCCTGACTGCTGCTCCCTCTCCTTACATTTGCAACAGCAAGAAATTAGACTTCTGGGAGAACTTAACTTGCCAATTTCTATGGCTCCTTGTGGATTTTAGAAGGATAATGCCCCCTCCCCAAGACTTAACACAGTGGTTTCCAGTGTTATAGTGGAAACTGAACAGATATGCAAGTTCTTAAACTGAAGGGGCATGTTCTCTCATTGCTCAGCAAATTTCTTCTGTTGAGATTAGAAAAAAAGCTCTCCAGAACGGTCTCATAATTAGATCCAGATGAAGATCAAACATGCAGTGAACTAGAACCATGTATATGTCCTTCTCTCCCAATCTTATCTTCTAAACATGCTTAAAATAATCACCTCCTTTTCCTGTTACGAGTGTATTTTTCAGTGCTCTAAAATTATCATCTTCTGGTTGGCCTGCAGGTTAATTCTGAAGCAGTACTGAAGCCAAGTGGCTGCATTCCTGACACCTTAGTGTTGGAGAATGCACCAGAAGCCAATACCCTACAGCTGTGGAGACAAGGGACTCTTCTGAAAGACAGTGAAAGCAAAATTATCAACCCTTCCTGGGAGTACTTTGTTCAAAATGATGGGAGAGATTTGACATGCACACAGTCAGCTTCAGAAGCTTGCACTTCATTTGAAAACATATCCTATTCTTCCCAGATTGCATTTAGTTCCAGCTTCTGTCAGAACGTGTGGATGTCAGGAACAAATGAGCCTCAGTTGTGGTACCAGCCACAGCAGTACGTTGAAATTCTGAGTAAAGAGACAGTCACATCATTAGGAGAAATCACTGAGAGGGAAGACGGTTTAAGATATATTTCACAAATGGAAGTACCTTGTTCTGAGGTTAAGTTAAGTGATTTACCCCATTCCACTGAGCCCATGGAATGTTCAAGTTACAAAATACAAACCACCTTGGGTTCGGAGCCGGTTATATCGACATCTGATGACGACGTTTACAGTCAGGCCAGCTCTGCTTCTAGCAATTCAGCAGCATTATTGCTTCCAGACTGGCATTAAAAACTGACCTGCATGTTTACACACACTGTATGCTGTAATTCTATTAGAAATTAGGGGAATAAGCAGGAATTACTGGATGAGATGTATGGCCTGCAGTATGTACACATTCAGATCATAACCATCTTTTCTGGCCCTAAAAGGATAATATGTACCAGGATTTGTTCAGGGTCACTAAAATACCAGAGAACAATTTCACTTCTGTGACACCCTTCACATGCATTATCCCACACGGATTTATTGCATTGTTGATGCTAGCATAAAAGATATGCATTATGAATCTCTGCATGGAACATTACTCTTACCTTGGGACTCTGGCTTTATTTGGGTGGGGTCAGAATGTTAGTTAACTGTGGTTTTTTGTATTTCATTTTCCACATAATAAAAAATTGGCCATGGAATGTCAGCTGGTCTTCTGTCTGGGGGCTAAGTGCTTAAGGAACTTAGGGTTCGTCTACACTACAACATTAATTCGAACTAAGCTAATTCGAACTAACAGATCTAGACTAAAAAACTAGTTCGAATTAGCGTTTTGCTAATTCGAACTAGCATGTCCACATTAAGTGGACCCTGAACCAGGCTTAAGGATGGCCGGAAGCAGTGCCGGCAGGGCATCAGAGGAGGACTTAGAGCGTGGAGATGCTGTCTCAGGCTAGCTGAGGGCTGTGCTTAAAGGGTCCCGACCCCCACCACAGACAGCAGTTCTCAGGGGTGCCCTCCTAGCAAAGCAGTCCTGGCTTGGAGTGCCCTGAGTGCCCACACTGGGCACATCACACCACTCGGCCATCAGCCCGGCTGCACTTGCCGCAGGCTGCCATCTGGGGAGAG